AATCAGAAATTAACGCAGATTTTAGACAGGTTAAAACGACCAACTCTTTTAGGTCAAAATGTAACTCTGTACCATTTACATTGATAATGAACATGTCATTCCTGCCAGTTTCAAATTCAAGAAGGAAAGTATGATGCAACAATTGACATCGAATTTTTATGTTATGTAAATCATATGAAAAATCCAAATGGGATTTCTTGTAACAACAAATCAGCGAACACAATCATGTTAATACAGAAAGATAAATGTGTTTGAACCTTCTTCTCTTATAAATTTTGTAAAACTAAATTATTACTTTTTATATACTATAAAATTCCATAGAAAAATCATATATACAATGCTATATTAAATTGACATTCAATTAGTTCATACACAAATCATACAAATTATATACAAAATTCATACAATATTAATACATATTCAATGGATATTTAATTCAATTCATACAGAAATCATACAAATTATATGCCTAAGTTCATACACAATTCATATAATATTAATACATATTCGATTTAAAAAGAAAAAATTAATATATGACTTTGAAACTACAAACTAATCTCATTTAGTATGAATACGTCAATTCATACATCAAAATCAAAAAAATAAAATATACAGTTGCAATACTTATTATAATAGTCAAAATTATAGGATACACAACATTAATACATCATTCATACAGATATATTTTACTGGACAAAAATATCATTTCATACATATATGATACAAAGGTAATACATAATGCATACACTCCTGTATTGATAATGACCAATTATTTCATACACAAAATCGTACAAAATTAATATATTTATTATGTATCAAATATATATTGATATATTCAAATTATATCATATATAAAACATACAACACTAAATCATTCAATATTCATAAATAATTTATGATATAAAATACTAAAAACTCAACTCATACATAAATCATACAAATTTCATGTAGTATCCTATTGACAAATAATAGCAAAAATTAAATACACTAACACAACACATTGTAATCCAAACTTGAAATAATCTTTTTACTGACTTTATCAACTTTTTTGGGTTTATTTGTAGCTTATATCTCTGATGCTTCTTTTTTTTTGAAAATTTTCTTGTTGAATGATCAATTTCAATGCATTTTATTTTTTTGATTCTGTATTTTTTAATCCTCAGCAAAGTCAGAATTGGATTCTAATGATGTTCTAATTTCTTTTCCTTTCCTCTTCTTGCCTCTTTCCTTTGCCTCTTTGATTTTGTTTTTTTCCATCTTCGAATTAACTGAACTACACTTCTCTTTTCTCTTGGATTTCTGCGTTTGAGTTTGTGACAATATATTGAATGAAGGAACATGAAAGTCATCAGACTCATCGACCAATCTTTAACTTTTACTTGGGGTTTCACTACCTTTCCTAGATATTCTATATGAACCAAATGGGGAACTGACGTGAGAGAGATGTTTGGATTTTAAGATGAACTGATCTAAGAGGGATAATGGGGAAGATGAATGAGACGGGATTTGGGTAAGAACAAAAAATCTTTGCGTGTTGGAAAGAGATGATGAGTGAGGCAGGATTTGGGGAAGATCATAATATCTTCGCGTGTTGGGGAGAGATGGAGTGTATTGGGGGAAGATGTTTGTGTATGTATTGGTTGAGTAGTTATTGGGCAACCGTATAACAGAGAATTAATTAAATTCAAAACCCTATTATTTAGATTTTATTTTTTAAAAGGTAACTATATAATGTAAAATTTAATTAATAATAATTTATTATTTATATTAAAAGCTTTAAAAGGTGATAAAGAGAAAAAAAATCATATTTTAATTTGATTTAAACTAATTTGAGCATTTAAGAAAATTGAATAATTTAAATCCTTTTTGAATTTGTTAATATGTGCTTATTTTTTAATTATCCATTATTAATTAAAATTAATTCAAATCCCACAATTAGTACTACTTACCAATTTATACATAAACATTTTTTTCCCTTTTTATTTTATTAAAAAATAAAA